CCATGTCACTTTTCCCATGGGAATGTAAGCCACCCTGCACGAGAGCAATCCCTAGTAAGACATCACTGACTGGACACAAGCATGACTGAGGGGCAGTAGGCCACGGGTACCCCTTGGCCTCTACTCGGAGGTCCATGAACCAAAGACAAAAATCACAGGCATTTCTCTAAACTGTATTAACTAATACACTGTTAAAGAATGACCCTGGAAAGCATAGTCTTCTCTTGCCCCCAAAGCTCTTCCTTCCTGCTTATCTGTCCCCCAACATTAATATAGTGTGAATAACATGACCTAACTCCACTGTATACTGTTGGGTATTGGCTACAATTTTAAAGTCTTTGGTCTAAAAATTAAACCTGTAAACTCTGAGATAAAGAACTGTATTTTATTCTTTTATACATAAATATTATCTAGGGCCATTTCAAATTCACAATAGATGCTCAATAAATCCTTAGTTAAGGAATCAGAAAAGCTATTAGGATATTTATTGAACACAGTCTCATTCAATATAGAGTAAATTTTACTGCTGTTTTCTATACAAACACTCTTATTTCAAGAAAGCTTTTAATATGTCATTTTACTGGCAAAAAACCCAATAAAGGAGAAGTAAACACAAACCTTTGGTTCAAAATACATAGTTTGGGAAAGGAAAAAAATCAACTTGTGGGAAAAATTTTGATTGCTACAGGAAGGTAACACCATAATGACTTGTTTTTGTTTGTTTTTTTGGTACTGGGGATCGAACTCGGGTCCTTGTGCTTGCGCAGCAGGTGGCGAAACCACTGAACTAAATCCCTGGCCCTAACACCATAATGACTTTATATGCTTGGTTTAGCTCTAATGAATAGTTCAGATAAATCACACCCAGGCTATGATATCTTAACTACTGGTAAGGGTATGTCCTGTATCAGATTATAACGCTGAACAAATATGCCCTCTTACACTCATTAAGCTATCATTGGCATTCACGCAAGAAACTTTGGGTAAACTTTGGGTAAACTTTGGGTAGTTGGCACAACACACCTTGGGGGAAGAAAGTCTACAGAGATCTTGACCATGCAAGTGAGATAAAATCCTACAAGGAAGGAAAACTATTTATGTACAAACCAGTTCAGCACATATTATAAAGTCAGTTATCCAAGACAAACCTCAAGGACAATGGATGCAGTGGTGGTGTTTTGTTTTGTGTGGTACTGGGGACTGAACCCAGGGTCTCTGAACTGAGCTATATGCCCAGCTTTTTTTTTTTTTTTTAAAGAGAGGGTCTTGATAAGTCCTTATGAACTTGAGATCCTCCTGTGTCAGCCTCCTAGAGTACTAGGACTACAGGCATGCACCACAATTAGCTGTTAGTGTTTTCTACAAAACTATCTGAAATTTATAGCCACCTGAATTTAGTCTCCTGCCTTACACAAATCCCAGGATCTGGAACCTCCACTGGATCTGTAGGCACCTCCGTGATGATGAAGGGCCCTGGCTTTAAAAGCTGGGTTTAAGTCTGGGCTCTCATGTGTCAGTTTTGAGACCCTGGGCATGTTATTTAATTCCTGATTTTTTATTCCCTTTTCTGTAAGACTGAGATAATACAAATGCTACAGAGTGGCATTAGAAATAACACACAAAGAATGGTGCCAAGTACAAGGTAAGTCTCAAATTGTCATTATTATATAATAAATATAAACTGTTACTAGCAGAAAGGCGCTAAAACAAATGAAGGAAAACTATTCAGAGTCAACCTCTCCTCTAACTCACTTATTAATTCTCAGTACATTATTTGGTGTCACGTGGATAAAATTTATTTCATCTGTCATACTCAGTCTCAAGTCTGCTTTCCAGCTGAGCCTGTGATCCCAACACTTGGAAGGCTGAGGGAGGGGGATCATCAGGGGTTTGAGGTCAGCCTGTCTCAAAAAAAACAAACAACCAAACAAAAAAATCTACTTTCTATATCACTAATGACTTTTTCTTTTTTAAAAAAATCTCTTTTCAACAAGATCAGATTTCTTTCACTTGTGCTTGTGCTGACAACTATTCACCAAAACACACCTGGAAAAGAGTAGGATTCTACCTAGTCTGAGAACACTGGCCAGCCAGTAACACACATTACTTACAGTTTGGTTTAAGAGGAACACTCCGAAAAGTCTGTTTTCCTAGCAGGCTACTTGTCCTTCTCCTTTCCGATTAATAGGGAGTAAGCACCAACTTTCCACCCCTCTGCAGGGGCCTCCCTGCACCTGCGCATCTGTCCAAATGGGTCTGCACCAGGCCGGAGGCTGGGAGCCCTGGTTTCTAAGGTAGTGCTTCTCAAATTTCAATGCCTGTTTTATTACCATGCAGATTCTGATTCAGAGGGTGTGGGGAGTAGCCTAAGATTCTAAGCAGTGTTCCTGACGGTGTGCTAGACCACACTTAAAAGCAGCAAAGGGCTACTGGGCAGGACAATCACAGCCCAAAATCCAAGGACACAGCATTCCACCATTCTTGGGACTCAAAAGCCAAATGAAGGCAGCAACTGCCACCTGACTTTGTTTTGAAGACATAAGTTACAGAATAGTGTAAGTCAATGCAATATATATAGAACGCTGACCTCCATAAGGAAAATAAATATAAAATAAAACAAGCAAAAGGACTGTTACCACTTTCTCCAGCTGAAAATATCCTCTTCAGCCCCCAAATTCAACTTCTTTACTCTTTTCTCTGATATAAAACATCATCTTTGCTAGATCACAGGCTTTCTTTGGATAGTGAAAACATATGCCAAGATGATGCTGGCATCTCCAGTTGAGATAGGCTAAGAGAAATACCACACAGCTTTAAGAAATCTGGAGGGCTGGGGATTAGCTCAATGGCGCCATGCCTGCCTTGCAAGCATAGGGTCCAGAGTTCAATTCCCAGCACCACAAAAAAAAAAAAAAAAAAGTGGGCCAGGGATTTAGCTCAGTGGTTCTGCTGCCTGCCTCGAAAGTACAAGGTCCAGAGTTCGATCCCAAAAAAAAAAAAAAAAAAAAAAAAAATCTGGAAAAGTTGGCGGTAACAGCGTGACAAATAGAATAATCAAGCACCCAGGGTTTCTGAAAGACTGACGTGCTTTCTGTAATTGTCACTGATTTATGTGCAGTCTGACCTTTAAGGACTCAACAAATGAGCAAACCATCTCAGGGACACTTTCCATTTTACACTACAGGCTTTATACAGCAGTGATAGGAAAACAATGTGTCCCAAGAAACCAAGAATTATTGTGGTTGTGTGGATGAAACACAGGGCTGGAACCAGGGAAGCTATCCTGCTGCCAACACTGCCAGGTCATTTCACCAGCTGGGTGACCTTGCTCATGCAGTTAACCCTCAAAAGTCTTCCAGCTGAACATACTACTTCATCCTCTACTCACATCCAGTTTAGTATTCACCCCGTGTCCCCTAAGAAGGAGCCCTTCTTGAGCCTTAGAAGTGACTGTTGATTCACTTACGTCAGTTGTGGCCAACCTGTGGCACGTGTGCCACATCAGACTGTTAGAATCAATTGAAAGCTCTAAAAGGTTCGCCATCACATACCTACCTGATGGTTGCCATTCCATTCCCATTGCCAAAGACAGATTTAAAAACACAAGCATGAGATGTAACTGATGGTACTTTTGTACCACTAAATGGACCAGCTCTGGAACCACTTTAATCTGAGCCTTTGAGTACAGATAAGACCTTAATACTCAACTCTTTTGAAATTTGCCCAATTTGGTAGATGATTCATTTTGACATGAAAATTTGTCCCAGTACTCATCATTTGTTTGATCCTCCACAAGGAAGCTAAAACTTAACAGCGACTTGCTATCCTTTCTAGTCAAAATAATTTGAAAATTGTCAAAATCAACCAATGGAAAGGACCAAGGTACCATTGTATGTGGAATATAGTTTCTTGCAGCCAAAAGCATTATGACTGATTCACTGGCTATGACATAATGAATAGTAAAACTCTTATTTCAAGTTCATTTCTGGGAACTCCTGTTACCTTGTACTAGCCAATCCTGGTACTCCAGTAGTGATTCTCAGAGCCGTGAGTACTAGGACCTCACCTAGTGCCTTTAAAAGTAGGCAGTCAAAAACACTTATGGGCATGTGGCTCCTCCATCCAAGGGGAGACCAGGAGAGAAAACAAGAATTCAATGACTAAACAAAGCAACTCAATCCTCACACTTTGGAAAGGCTGCAAGCAGGAAAGTATGACTCTCTCCTTCAGGGAATAAAAACCACCTGTTCTTGGGCCAGGGATTTAGCTCAGTGGTTCCAGCGCCTGCCTCGAAAGTACAAGGTCCCGAATTCGATCCTCGGTTACCAAAAAAAAAAAAAACAAAAAAACCAACCACCTGTTCTTACTGTTCCCACCTGGGTAGCAGTTTAAAACTAGATTCTCTATCCCTGTTCGGCCTGTAGTTATTGATGTAATAAGCACCCAGGTGGCTCCGTGGACCATATTTTCAGAAAGATTATTTGTTTTCTCGAAGTTCAAAGTCCTGAAGTTTGTTGTTTTCCCTCAACACAGCCACATCATCCACCCATAATCCGCCCCCCCTTCTGCCACAGAGGCCTTGACCATGCGTGTGATACCTCTGTCCTGACACAAGGTCAAGAGACAGCCAAATGCCAAGTATTTCCTTGTTGACTTTGTATTTACAAAACAAAGCGCAACTCCAAAAACAGCCATTCGTCTTGGCTACCCCTGCTGTTTACACTCAAGGTCCAGTCCACTTGCCATCAACGTGCACCGCTTTCCCCTCTGCCCTCCACCACGAAAGTATTCAGGGAGCGTTAAACACAGTCAGGACCTCAGGGCACACCCGGTCGGCTCAATCACGGATGCCTGGCAATGCTCGGGTGCATATCAAATCTGTTCCCAAGGAGCATGCACCCCGCACATTGAGCATATAAGCGGCCCCTACTTGCCCAGCAGCGTGTCCCCTAATCCCTCCTTGGCCGCGCTGCCATCCCATCCAGTCAAGGTGCGCTTACCTGAAGCACGTGGTGAGCTCGCCGGAGGGCTTCAGGCAAGGATATTTGGTAGTCGCGATTTTGTTTTCTGAGCAGATTTCTCTACGAAAAAGTTGGAGAGCAGAGGCTGAGGATTGTGGGGTTGGGAGCATTGTGTGTGTCCTGGCATCTGCGTCCGGACGCGCTGGGCGGGCGCTGGTCCCTGTGCGCCTGTGCCGAGCTGACTCCGAGGACAGGACGAGCCACGACAGGGTCAAGGCAGAGCGCAGCCAGCCCCAGGCTAAAGGCTGAGGCAGCGGTGCGCAGGGTATCACAGGGCCCCACCCACGGATAGGGGTCGCCCAGGTTAAGGAGGAGGCTGTTACTCAAGAGCACAATTAGAAGTCGCCCGGGACAGCTGAGCTGCTGGCCCCAGCGGGAGGAGGGAGGGCGCGCGAATCGCCGCGGAGGTGGGCAGTGGGGGAAGCCCCCGCACCCCGCCAGCCAGGCGCACCACACAGAGCCGCTCGCTCGCCCTCCGCTGGGGCTGGCGGCGCTTACCTGTCGGCGTCCTCGGGCTCCACTCTGTAGGTCCACGTGTGTCCCAGCGCCAGGAGCAACAGCAGCGGACCCAGGCTCCTGCGCAGCTGCCTCCTGGCTGCTCCTCCCCGGCTGGAAGGAGGCGGCGGCACCATCAGGGAAGCTCCCGGCTTCTTCCCCGCTCCGGAGCTCGCTCTCCCCTCCCTGAGCGCTGCTTCTCTGCCGCCGCCGCCGCTTTCCCTCTCCCCGGCAGGGGGCACCGGAGAGCAGGGGCGCTTGCTCCACCTGCGCGCGGCTCAAGGGCTCTGGAGGCTTAGCGGCAAGGGGTGAATAGGATGAAGAATCGAGCTAATAATAGGAGCCGGGATGCTGACTGCAAACTCGGCAGGGAGGTAAGTAAAAGTGGTCCCTGGGGTCCACGCCCCGCGCGAGGATCTGGGGCCAAGGGACGCTCCCGCTGAATTGACACCGGCTGGACTGGGCTCGGGGCTCTGCCCTCCCCTCTTCTCTCTTCCTCCTCTGAGAAAAGAAGGCAGGGTGTGGAAAGCAGGCGTTGTTTGCATGTTGCACCAGGGTCGCTCGCCTAGGAGGAGGAGGAGCCGATTCTCACCCCGGGGAAGGGGCGGGAGGGGAGGAGAGGGGCTAATAAGCTTCCTTCCTGTTGTCTGTTGATTTCTGAAGCCCATGTTTGCGTTCCCCCCCTGCGGACCTTCACCGAGCTTCTCAATGATCCCAGGTTTTATTTTCGCCCTCAGAATACAGAGCTGGAAGTGCAAGACAGCTGGGGCAGGGAGGGAGCACGCCTTACTCCGGGGTCCTGCTCCCTACGGGTCTATGCAGCCTTGTTGTAGATGATCTGTAAAATCGGGGCAGAAGACAATTGTCATTCATATAAATTGGCATCTTAACACTGTTGCACTTTAGGGGTTTTCTTTGTCAAAGAGAAATTCGTGACATAGACGTGCACCACAGAGCCAAGCAAGTGAATGTGGCCCAGAAAGTCATTTGAAAGCAAGAGGTTTGATGTTAACGCCCAGTCCCTAACATCGGTGAGATTGCAGTGTGTTCACGAGTTACCCGTGTGCCCACTGGTTAAGTAAGCAGCTGTTTTGATCGACACAGTATTTTGGCCACCTAAAAATTATCCCACACGTCATATACACATTGACATTTTTATAGCAATGACATGGGCCTTCTTCTGTAGAACGCTTTATATTTGTCAAAGGTCTTACACATCTATGATTTTATTTGATTCTCACAATATCCTTTGAACCAAAGTATCGCGTTTCTTAGTTCAGTGAAGTGGTTTTCTCCTACAAAACTTACATAAGCGATGGGAGACATAAAGCAAACTTGATATTAAAATATGGTGCTGCTAGTTAACAAAAACAAATTAATTTTCAAATGCTAATTCAGCGGGCACTTCAGAATCTTACAGAACTTGCAAGTTGCGGGATAAGGAAAACCAAAACCTGCCTTCAAACCCAGGCATTTTGTAGGTGAGTGACCAACCTCAGGCAGTTACTTTACCTTTCTGAAATTCGGTTTCCTCATCTGTAAGTGAAGGGCTCTGCTTCATAAATTTTATAAATATCAGATGAAGTAGTGTACAGAAAGCAGTTTTGCACGGTGCCCGGCATATACTGAGTGCTCAGTAGACATTAACTCATTATTTTAACATAAACTACTGCATTGCACAGAAATTTAGGTTTTAGGTTCCTTAGCTTTCTAGCTTTTTACTAGCTACATACATAGGAGTCTCTTTGACAGTCGTTTGGGTTCCTAAAGAGAGACCTCACTAAGCACATGAAAAATAAACCCATCCTGGAGCTTATGAAAAATGCATTACTTTGAATTGTCATAATAGTCTTTGATCCCATCTTGGAAGGAAGAGCCATCCTGCAGGCAGAAGGTCCCACTTTTATTTTCTTTCCAATTCCTCTATTTTGGAATAACTGGCATTCTTTTTTTTTTCTCATCTTGTTTTTCTACTATTCTAGTGTAGCTATTAGTTCTACAAAGAATAGAGCATGGTGCTGGAGAGTTGGTGGCTTCCTTAAATGGTAATAAGCCACATGTGTGGACATGCAGATTTTTCAAGGAAAGTAATGCAAGCTGCAAAGTGATAAAAGCAGAACCACATCCATCCATAACATGCAACTGTGTGGCACAAAATTGGTAGGAAAGTCTGCTTTGCTGCCTCCTTATTTTAAATCCCCTACACCGAGCACCTATGAGGATGAACACTTGTGAAAGTGCTGATTAAGAAAACAGGCCAGATTTGACTGGAGAGGAATCTCATGGGTGGGTGGTCAGAGCATTTCTGCAGGAGGTGAGCTGCAGCTAAGACGTTTTGAAAAACTGTTGCCTGCAGGCCTGGAATTTCAACCCGTTGGCAGCTTCTGACTACAGACTTTAGTGCTGGGGTTGGGGGCTGGGCAGGAGAGGTGGTTAGGCAGAAGGAGATGAGGATAGCCACTTATGGAAACCAATCACTAAAGAGTTAAACTACCCTGCAAAAGAGCAACCTGCATTTGCTTAGGTTGCAGCCTGCTTGGGAGATGCCAGTCCTGAGCCTGTGTGTGGTAGGAGCCTCAAGAGTTTTAGCTTTTCTCTTTTCGTACCCATATTCTCTGCACAACTCTGTCCAACCACAGGCCTGCTGCTGATGCTCTTCCCCATCCCCTCATATATGAACCACTAGACTAGCATGAGAGAACTTGCCCCTTGCTTCTTTCATAGGAGTGTTGCTGTGATTAATGATATGGTCCTAAATGCTCCTGGAGGGAGGCCTTGTGTGATTATTTCTTTTCAGCATACCACTCAGCAATGTTTTCCATAAAGACCTGTCAGCTGTCCTGAAACAAACCAGAGAGTGGATAGTGACACAATTTACCAGGTCCTAGGGGCTTGGGGCTCCCTAGTGGAATCTGTGTTGTAGGTTAGATCCCTGGTGGAACAGGTATTGTTAGGCAGTACTGCTGAGTGTTTTCTGGGAGCCAGTGAGATTGGCTGGCTGGAAAATAGAGGCCAACATTCAAAAGCAAAGCAAGGCATGAGGGTGTAGCTCAGTGGTAGAGCTTGAGAGAAAAAGTAGGAAAAAGAGAGAAGAAAAGTGAAAGGAAAACAGAATAGTTAAAAATTAGGCCGGCCAAGGTACTCAATTTTAAGGAACTCCAACATCTTATTTGAAGAAAATCTGCATAGTATTAGAAAAGAAAGATAAGTTACAGTACTACAAAGAACAGACCACCCCACTTGGGACATTTCAATTCCCTATTTGTTTAAATTTTTCCTTAAAGATTTATGGCTCACAAAAATATGCTATTCTATAATGTGTGTATAATATCAGACAAAATAAGATAAAGCAGTTATGATAAAGGAAAAATCAGGATTGAGTAATAAAACTGAAGTAATGGTAATATTGAAAAAAACTGTATAAGCAGAGAGTCCTGTGCTACATTTAAAGCAGATCACAAATCAGTTCTCAGATTCTCAGAAGTCAATTCAGGATAATTACATAATCAGTTACAAGAGTTAAGGTAAATGTAAAGGAAAGGCCTATAAATTTCTTTTTCAAAATGACAGCATTTTCCTGCTGGTCTCCCTAAAATGTAGAAAAAGTCACCTTATTGAAAAGCAAAGACTTTTTCATAAAAACAAGACTCAACAAGAGTGAGTAAAGTTCATGCTGTGTAGAGAGTGATCAAGATAAGCTACTCCTAAAATAAGCACTGATAACTTTCCTTCAGTTTCAGCTTTGATTGACACACAGCCAGGTCTGCTCAGAGAATTAGGGTTACATCTGAAAAGTGCTAAACTGCAACAGTCCCCAAGCCATTGTAAGGAACTGCTTGACACAAGAAGAGTCAAAATGTTTTTAATAGAGTGAGTTTTAAAGCCCTAGTTTTGGTGTGTACATTACCTCTGCACAAAGCCAGTCATAGCTTCAAACTGTACAAGTTCTGAAAGTTTACCAAAGCTTTTCCCCAAACAGGAAAAAAATGTCAGATTTCTATGTCTATGATGGAATCTCACAATTTTGCCCAATTTTGAAGCAAAAGCAATTGTAAAAGATTATGTGTAGATAGGCCACTTTATAATGTGGGAACAATATGAGAAACTTGATCCTTGATTATGTGTCCCAAGGATATTAAGAAAAATTGTCCATGTGATAATGGCTATCGTATTCATTCTTAAAGGTGTTAACACATAACGCACACAGTGTTCAGTCTAATAGTAGAACATTTCTCCCAAAAGAGGACTTGTTGCAAAAATAAGAGTCAGTGATCTCCTTAGGCAATCAGAGCCACAGGATAAAACCTAGCATTTGGGGTAGAGAAGTATATTCTAATTACGATTCAGTTCTGCAGCTCTTTTTGGCACTAATGGGTGCTGCATGACATGCTGCTGAGATAGATAGCCCCTTGTCGTACCCACCAATAGGAACAAGGTGCCCACAGTATAGGTGGGGCTTCTGGCCCAGGTTATGGGTCTCTGATCTAGAAAATGGCATTAGAATTATTCTAGCATTTATAAACCGGTTCCTTTCAGTGACTATCATTTCAATACCAATAACATCTTTGCTTATTTTTATAAAGCAGATGCTCTTTACATCCCTTAACTCTATGAGGAAAAGTTATTCAATATTTACTGAATATGAGATACTCAACTCAGAAATATGGTATTATGCCCATTTGACAAGTAATACGAATATTGACTTGAAACTTTTTCTGATCTGAGCCAAGGTACCTTTTACAGTGGAAAAAATGTAACTGTAGTGCCCATGCCAACAGAGTGTACAAACTTACTACAAGTAAATATATTTTTGCCCTCTGGATATGAGACTGACTCTACTTATCTTTTTTAAAAAGTAAAGAAGAATAAGAACCAAGACACATCATGTAAAGGTACAAGTTCCCAATGGGAAATGTAAATGTATTGTATACCTAAAATGTACCGATAAAAGAATTTTTTTTAAAAAAGTAGAGAAGAGGGCCAGGGATTTAGCTCAGTGGTTCTGCCACCTGCCTTGCAGGCTCAAGGACCTGAGTTCAATCCCCAGTACCAAAAAAAAAAAAAAAAAAAGAGAGAGAGAGAGAAGAAACACTGGAAAGTGGGAAAAAATTAGACCTAAAAATCAGATTTCCATCTGCTTAAAGTCCAGTTATACTACCTAATATTTCTGTGACCCTGAAAAGCTCGCTTAATCTTCCTGGGACTCTGGTTATTCATAAATGGAAATAACAATATCCATCTCATCAGATTGTTGAAAAGAGTAAAAGATATATAATAAGCTCATCACATCAGAGCTCATAAATAACACCTAATATTTTAATTGTTTTTCTTCAGTCGTTTGGATGCAGTTATGCTGGGCCATCTGTTATGACTT